CCCTCCATCAGGCTAAGCAAAATGCTGGCCATTTTGTATGTCTTAAACATTCTGCAGTCATTCATGGTCAGGGCCCCTAATTGAATATAATGGAAGAGAAATTTCGTAAAGAAATGGAATACTTTTTACAGTAATTAGGAAGATGATGTCTTACTGCTTTAAGTTCTGTAATTAGGTAAAACGCCAAAGAGAGTCTGTAACCTCTTTTCTTGTCATGCTGGATCATTTCTTATTGAGATAAATACAATATAGCATGGAGCCATAACATCAGCGCATCGTGCCGTGCCTCATACAGAGGAGGTTCTGTAAACTATGTAATATTTAAAAAAAGAAAAAAAAAAAGAGGTGAAGCAGAAAGAAGACCATTGACTAAACATTTTGTAAAGAATACATTTAACAAATGTGTCTGAAGGCCGAAGGGGGAAAGAAAAGGATCTCCAAAACCAGCTTAGAATGTCTCCTTCATTGTTCTCTTGTCCTCCCACTCTCAGGAATAGTAAGATCTCAGTGAAAGAGGGCGGTGGTGCTCCCACTTCTGAAGGAAGACCCCTTCCTTCTGGAGCATCTTTTGTAAGATTTGCCTACAGTACCTTTCAGATAAGATAATCGCTCCACCTTTTAAATTTTCAACTCTGGATTATTTCTTAAGATACTAATTGCAAAGGCAGTCAACTAGATAGGCAGAAAAATATCTTTACAATAGTCTATCTTGTAATGTAATAGCTTTCAAGATCTAAATGATGTTTTTCAGCACCACTGGGATTATCCATTACCCAGGAGCTATTGGTGTAAGAATCCTGCATATTGGTTTGCAGAGTTTATGATAACGTCTATTTTAGATATAGCATGGTGTATAAATACTGTTTGTGTTAAAAGAGATAGGATCATGTAATCAGTTACAAATGTGTGATAATTACATTGCATTTGTTTTGGGTGAGTATTTGCAGGCATACATTGTGTGGTAATGCACACAACAGTCAGTGAAAACAGCATTTTAGAGATAGGTATATCTTTTTATTATCTTCAGTATGTTTTCTTTAATTTACTTCTAAATATTTATACAGATTTTATACAGATAAATGCACTTTTTATGTGTTTCCAAAATAAAATATACTGATAATTTAACCGTTCTCTTGCCTGAAAGTAATTTTAGAATTGACACCTGGAACTGAGAAATGGGAAGAAAGTAGTAATTTTTAAATACTATTTTGAACCTGAAATCCTTTGCAGGGTCATGTTATTTGCTTCCTTAATGGTTGCCTTTGCTGGATTTGTGCGTGTGCTGGGGTATATACACGGGAGAGGCTGACAGCAGTGAAAGCATCTAAAATACTAGCAAGAGTCTTTGCATGAATATAGAGCTTCAGAATAGTTTTAACTCGCTTGCTTTATGTGTGCAGTTATATTGTTCAGGTTTGTACTACTTCAAACACTGTATTCAGCATCCTACTAGAAATTAAGTTATCTGACATTCCGGTGTACAGGCAGAAAACGTTGAGAATTGAGATAAGGAGATATTACTGTAGTGAAAATCTGAGCTGACAGAATTTGTTTATTATTTTCTTCCAAGAAAAGTTGTACTTTAGCCTTTCAAAAATAAATCACCAGCGTTTGACCCTTTCTATAGAACGGCGATTTTGCTGTAACAGCAGGAAAATTATTTTTCACAAGTTTACAAATACAAAAGTTGCTTCCCCGTGAAAGCCTGTAGCCTGAGAATATTGAATGCATTTCTGTGGTTCTCTGATTTTTCTCAGTATCTTAGTCTTTGCTGATTGATTTCTGCACAATATTCTGTATGTGCTTATTAGCAGAGAGCGAGGAAGAGGATGACAATGAAATGGAAGTTGAAGATCAAGATAGTAAAGAAGCTGAAAAGCCAAACATCATTAATTTTGACACCAGTTTGCCAACATCACATGTGGTATGTTCTTCCTATATCGTCCATTAAATACATCTTGAAGAGGTTTTGATTGTTTTTGTGTAGTTCTATTGTAATATCCTTAAGCCAAAGACCTGATTTTACTTTATCCTTGTCAATCACCAAAACCTCTTATGCTACTGTCATTTGCTTACTTACTGTTTTCAGTATTTAGGTTCTGATATGGAAGAGTTTCATGGAAGAACGGTACATGATGATGACAGCTGTCAGGTGATTCCAGTGTTGCCCCACGTGATGGTGATGTTGATTCCTGGACAGACGTTACCTCTTCAGCTTTTTCGCCCTCAAGAGGTTAGCATGGTGCGGAATTTAATTCAGAAAGACAGAACGTTTGCTGTTCTTGCATACAGGTAAAATACACGAGTGGGTTTACTGATGGTATGCAGCATGTGTTTTTAGCACAATTTCTTTGGATACTAAATCAAAAGCAGATGGTTGCATCAGTTCTGTGGTGAATAACATAAGTTGTGGTTTGAAATTGTTTGACAAAAATGGTCTTCCGATACGTAATGAAAAGGTTTCCATGTTATACTGGGTAGCTGCATGACAGTATCACATGTTTGTATAGAGAAACAGTAAGCGTTGATCTGCTTTCCTTGTTTGAGCATCCTCCTTGATTTCAGTAACTGTTTGAATGCACTGCTCCATCTTGCTTAAAGGATAAGCCTTGATCTGAAATGTAAAAATCGGATCCTTGTTTTGAGAACTGTATTGTTGTAAAGGTGTATTTTCTTGTTTCGTGTGTAAATTAAGAAGCGCAGACAAATGTTTCACAATAGAGTTGAGACAGGTGGTGATAGAAAAGCAGAAAAGATAAAAGGCTGATCTGTGCCAAAAGAAATTGGGAATGCTCCTCCCTCTTCCCCCAATTTACTGTGGTTTAGTTATGTAGGAGGTGGGAACAGTTATTTTTAGAAAGTCAATCTAAAGAATTTTGGTACTTTCAGTATCTGCATTTCAAATGCAGATACACTGGTGATCCCTGTGTTCCTGGAATTTCACCTTTAGACCCTAAAATAAAACCTAGTCAACTGGCAAAAACCCCCAACCAAACAAAACATTAGAAGCTGCTTTTAAAATGGAAGAATAATGATTGCAGTTAGTTGAAGGTATTTTACCAAATTTACTGTTTTGATAAGACTAATTGTGTACAGTCAGTGCAGGTAGACTAACTGGTGAAATCTGAATGAACAATGCTGTTTGGAGGGTAGGTAACCTTTTTAATTCTGTTACTTTTAGTAATGTACGTGAAAGGGAAGCACATTTTGGAACAACAGCAGAAATATATGCCTACAGAGAAGAGCAGGAATATGGAATTGAAACAGTCAAAGTGAAAGCAATAGGAAGACAGAGGTTCAAGGTGCTTGAAATAAGAACTCAGTCAGATGGGTAAGAAAATTATGTATTTAACTCTACATACTGCAAATCTTGTTTTGCCAAAACATTTACATTTTACTGCAGGTGCATCTGCCCTTTCAGTCACACAGTTGACTGATTAGTATAGATATTAATTGAATGCTTAATCAGCCACTTCTCTGGTTATTAAGAACTTTGGACATTTCCTGTTCTGAGACTCACATTTTAGTAGTTAATAACTTTGCTATAAAATTCTCTAGAGAATATCTACCTGTAGTTTGATTTGTTGTGTGTGAGAAAACATCTGTCAGAATGACTTTGTTTCTGAAATTTAAGTCAGGAAAAAGATGTTGATTTGCCTGCATTGTAAGTTCTAAAGTTTTATTTCACAATCTCTCATATCCCTGTTTCAAACTAGATGTGAAATGAGAGGATACAATATCAAGTGTGTGCCTTCTGTTGTCTTGTGGAAAGCCTCCCTGGTAGCGACCAGATTCCATTCCTTTGAAAAATTGTAACTTTCATTTTCTGAAAGGAGACCTTTCTAGAGATGGTCTGCACTGGACGTGTTCCACTTCGTAACTTTATGTGCAATTGCAGCTCTGAACTGCTGCAGGCAAGTGTCTGACACTACAGCTAATAGCAATATGCTTGTCCTTTTTTGTACTTTGAGTGATCTTTAAGTACTGAGCCTCAACAGCATGCAGAAGGATTCAGCTGCATGATTCAGATATGGAGAGGACAGTAACTGTGCCCAGAGGGGTGGTGGCTTTCATGAGAAGCTGCCCATGAAAGGGGAGGACTGGAGTCTGGTAATAATGGAGAAATAAGTCGCTTCTCTTGTTTGTTTTTTCCCTTTGTAAAACATAAAAGCACACTGAGACTTCTGGATAAATACTTGAATGTGGTTCTTGATTTTTTGCTAACTGCAAGCAGCCCATCATTTTCAGTTTCTCAAATACTAAATCTTGTTTATTTTAACCGTTGTCACAATTTAGTACATCCTTACCTTCAGCAAGTCTTACCTCTTCCTTTCTGACTGTTCACTGATAATTCACTGATAGAAAAGTGCTACTTCTCCTGTTACTGGCTGACAATTCTTTTCATGTGCTTGTCAAACACACTCAAATCAGCTTTGATAGGAGTATTCTCTTCTCTTCTATATTCTAGTCCTGTTCTTTTCTATATTCCAGTGTGATACCTGCGATATTTAGAGGCTCCTGACAGTTTTATCATATTATGTAATTAATACCTTTGTCTATTTATAGAAGTGGCTGAGACCCTTAACATTTAGTTAAGAGTATGTTGAGTCTTCCGTCATTCTCAAGTTCTTGACATCATGCATTACATCATGAAGCTCTGTCAACGTCACTGTCCACAGATACAGGCTCCAGACATTGAATCTGTGAGCACGTGACAATTCTTAGCACAATTGCTAGAGGTTTTTGTAATCTTTTCTGCAAGGCATATAACATCTTGCTCCAAATCTGTAAATCTAAAGCTAATCATCTGTATTCTGCTATTGTTCAGTGTAGTGGCATTGCTTTAGAAAGAGGCCTAGGAACAGTCTGAGCTCAGCATTTTCTTATGCTTTTATGACCTGCAGCTGAAGAAACGAAGATGATGTGTGCTACTTGCTCTTTATCACTATCTAACATTTGGTTACAGATAACATATTCCAAATTTTACAGCTTAGAAAAACCATTGCTTGAACACAAGATGGCAGTACTTGGACAGCTACAGTAGCAATGGCATTGTTACTGAGAATTCAGTATCCAGAAACAGTTAGGATGTATAGTGATTTTGTTGTACTGTTAAAACATTTTATTATGATGGTTTTATATCTACTGAACTAGCAGAGATCACTTTTACACAGCACGTTCGCAAGTTTCTTAAGTATGAATTTTTAAATGTGTGAAATAAGGGAGGCAAGATTAATCTTATCATGGCAAGCTCTAGGTTTGTTGGAATGACTTAAACTATATAGAGTTACTTTGCTTTCAAATAGCCGCATGCTTGGGAGTTCTGTAGGGATGCATATGGGATTCAAAATGCTTGAATTAAGCTAGGGTCATTGCTCAGTCTCAGTATTCTGGCACTTCTCAGAACACAGAAACACTTCCCAGCATTTCTTCAGAGTAAACCTACACACGTAACAACAGGCAAAATGACCAGAGCCCTACATAAACAAACAGGGGTCTGTATATTATGTGCATGGCAGCAAGATCGGAATCAGTGTTTATATTAATATAATCAGAATAACTGATGATTTACCTGAATATCTCAGCTGTCTCAACAGAAACTTTTCCAGGCTCATGGATGAATGCTTCAAGTCTCAGTAATATAGTCAGTATTGGAGTGTACTTACCCATTTGTGAACCTCTCCCAAACCATCAGCAGTAAGAAATGCTGAATATTTTGCTTTGGGGAAAACAAAAACCAGGCCTTTTTGATTCAGTGGTTGGGCTAATTAATTCTCATTAATTCTGTCATTTGCAGGAGTAATCTGTCAGGTCTTTTAAACCTTACACGTACATTTACATTTGCAGTTTTGTACAGTGAAGTTCCTAAGGCTTTCTAACTCGATACCAGTGCCATTAGGGAATCGAGTGCCAGTGATTGGAACCCTAATGAGTCAGCCATGAGGGCTGCTGGCATGAGGTTAACAGGCAGGGTGCTGCCTGAGGGACAAGGATAGCTAGGTTAATAGGTACTAGCTTAGTATCTGTTGCTGGCACGAATGTTAAGTGTCTTGACACATGGATATCTGTAGTGAATATTAAGAGAGATGGCACACTTCAGAGGTTTCTAATTACTGGAAAAATGAATGTTTTCTTCTACAATGTTGTCCCTGTAAGTACAATTGGAAATTTGTAATGACATGCATCTTAATATTTCAGGATTTCTGATGCATAATACTGTTAAAATGTAAAGTCCTTCCTGCTGGACGGTGTTCTTTGTAGCCACATAACTGTTGCTGAACTCTTTGTGGACTAGGTGACCTGGTTAATGCTGGGATATTAAAAGATGATCAGAGTCTATATCCTATTTCTGCTGATTTTGAACTCTAGCTAAGCACATCAGCTTTTGTGGTTTGAAGATAGCAAACTGCATTTCAGCTAAACTTCCTTTCTGAGGGTTTGATATGTAATAGCTGACTATTAGTTTATACCAAAAGTAACTTGAGGAGACAAAAATCTAAAAATACAGTGCTGAGATGGTAGAATATTCTGCTGTGTTGCCACTGCCAATCTGGCTTTAATTCTGTCCACCGTAATCCCAACAGATATCTAGTGCTCTAAAATACAAAGACAGCCCATTGTATCCCACGGAAAAGGAAGCTAACTGTTGGGGGGGTGGAAACCCAGCAAAGAAACTTTTGCTGAAAAAGTTAAAGCAGTGATCTTTGTGGAGTTCTGTATACCAATGCAAAAAATATTTGGAAAACAGCTAATTCTGGTTTTTAAAGGAAAGGGAAAAACAGAGATTGCTTCTGTCTTCAATTTCGGTAGATCAAAGTCCAGTCAGCACAGTGGCTTTAATAATTTAGCCAAGGGCATGAGATAATGTGTTCTAGAACAGTATATGTTTGGTTTGCCACAGATATGCTGTATGCTCCCTAAGGTAATTTGATTTACATTAATACAACTTTAAAAATCTGATTAAGTGGATTGCTGCTTAAATTCTGTAGTACTATGTAGTGATTAGATCTATTACACAAGCCTATGTTTTTATAAGCAGTAAAATCCATTTTTTTAAACTCTTGTATATGTGTGTGTATGTCATCTTTTTTTTTTTTTTTTAATCAGAATCCAGCAGGCTAAAGTACAAATCCTTCCTGAGCGAGTGCTGCCTTCAACAATGTCAGCAGTACAGCTGCAGTCTCTCAGCCGATGCCATATATTTCCTTCTTCAAAACCTACAGCGTGGCAGGACCGAGCTATACATCAATGGTGGCAGAAATATCAAAAGGTTAGAAGCTAGTTGTGGTGGTGTTTTTCTTCAAATTTTTGATGGTATCTTGAAAATCAATATAAAATCCCATCTGTTCATCTTTAGAGGAGGATGCACAACTGGGATGCTAGATGCCAACCTCCTGCTTTTGTCACGTATTATGTGATTGTTTATCAGCCATCAACAATGGGGAAATACATGTTTTGTATTATGAGTTCACTTTAGTTTTAATTACAGTATTATTAGATTAATATTATTACATAATAATTCACGTAACATTACAATTATTATTTTTTTACATAATCGAAACACCTCAGAGAGTGCTGTTTGGTAAAGCTTGTAGATAGAGAAGTGTTGGTGGAAGAAACAAGTAAGTTTATAGGATTTTATTTGTAGGAAGGTCAAAGAAACATCTTGATTTTCACTGACATTGCTTTGACAATAAAAATTTGGCAATCAGTGTTGACAGTGCCAGTGCTTTTCCATTGTACTTGTGATAATGGTTTGGTTTTGGAAATAAGGACGCTTTTGTAACTGTTTCTCTGTGACTTTGATTCAGGTAGAAGAGGTCTTTAAAGAGCAGAGGTATTTTAGAGGTGACTCCCAAATTTCAGTGATGAAACTGAAGACCTGTAATGTCTTAGTTTGGAATCACAATTCCATTTGCTAATTCTGCTTTAAAACCTGCATCAGTTAAAGGATTAACTTCTGCTCCTGCACTTACTTGTTTACAGAAAATGTGGATCTGCGTTAGAATGACAGACTCAGTTTTTTTTAACTCAGTCAAATATTCCCACACAGATGATTGCTAGCCAACAACTAGGCTGTACTTTATAGTTTTGAGCATGCTTTATGTTGCACTTACATCTTGCAGATTTTTATGTAACATGTATCTAAAGTTCTTGCTGACTTTTGTGCTTAGTCATTTTCTTTGTCAGATCACAATTTTTCTATACAATCCATTTATTCTGGCCGGTTGCACATGTATTTCTAAGTCTGTTTTTTGATTTATTATATTTGTTCAACAGATTTAACTTCTGGGATAGTCAATATGTAATCCCCTTTTTCCTTTTTTTTTTTTAAACTGAATTTAGAAACTTCCTTAAATTTTATTATGGTACTAAAAGTGACAAGATAGGAAAGGGTCATAGAAATCTCTAATTTTTTTCATGCGCTCTGCATATGTTGACATAGTAGTTATTAGCAGAAGACGGTGCTTTTACACACAAAGTGCGTGAATTAACAGTTCCATGGTCTTACCAATATTATTTCCTAGAGCTTTTTTAATAAGTATGCAGACTTTACACTTCTTTAGAAGAGGAGAAATAATCATTATCAAGATGTTGGTATTGTCATTAGGGAATTAGGTTCTACTTTCCTAGAACCTAATTTTGCTTCACTGGCACAAATTCTGTCTTTGCTTGTTTACAGTATTTTTGCAGCACTGCAGCTGTGGCAGTACTTGGAATCAGGAGGGAATTCACACGGAGATTGTAGGGCAGCATTTTCAAGAGTCCTAAGTGGCTGCTGCCAGGCCTAAGCTACAAACTTTTGCATTGCTCAGCAGAATAATAAGGTGTGATTTGTGCTAGAGACAGCTGCGCTGTTTAAAAGGTGCTAAAAGATGCATTTATACAAGTGAATGTGCACTTCTACCAGTATACAGCGTTTTCCTTTAGGAGTCTGAAATAAAATATACTGTCAAAAGGATAATTTTGCTGGAATAAATTACGTTTGCCACAATAAGCACCATGCTAGCGTATCCTACCAGCATAGTTATACCAGCAAAAGCCTTTTGAGTGTAAACCTAGCTCGTTCTCAAGGCACAGTGCAAGCTTTTCAAAGACTGTCATTAACAGTGGACAAATATGCATGGTAAGGTTAATGGGACAAGATCTAGCACTGAGGTCAGTAGGAGAGGAGGTGGTGAAAGAGGGCAACCTGACACTTTTGAAAAAACTGAAATTGCGGCTTGCTTATTATTTATTTAACCCACTGTTTCAGTCAGTGGCATGTAAGAGGAAAGATACCTTGAAGTCTTCTGTATCTGTAGAGATCTTTGGAACGACCTCCAGAAATTAATATAGAATCCTAGTAACTCTCCTCATTGTCAGATGCAGTTAAGGTTTGGATTTGTTTTTTTTTTTTCTTCAATGGTTTTGAACTCTGTGGCACAAAAAAAAATCACTAAGAACAAAAAGCTATTGATTCTCAGAGTTCTTGAACAAGTTCATCTATGAGTTAACAAGCCCAGAAACCCTAAGCTTAGCGGGGGTGGGGGCGGAAATCCCTTTCCAAGACTGAGTCTGTCTGATGATAGCTGAAATGCAGCGCACATCTTTTGTGGATTGAGATACAGGTCCAGAGTAGGGGCATTGTCCTACTGACCTCCGTCGCTCTACTGATGTCAGTAGAACTGTGACCGTTTCCAGTAGGACAGGCTGTACCTCTGTATGTTTACTAATATAATGAGAAGCATTAGAAAATGGAAGTTGCATTTTAAGAATGGTTTCAACTCCATACAAGAGCTGACCCCATGTCAGCTGTTACAAAAAATATACTTGCTAATTAAAACAATAACTTGAGTTTTGGTGTTCCTGAATTCTTTCTTCAAAGTCCCATTTATTTGCTGTGGATCTTAGTCTCTATTGCCTGATTTTTATTTTTTTTTTTCCTCTCATTTGTAAAATAAGGGTAGTTGCCCTCAAAGGGAAAATGGAAATTTAATTTGTAAGTATTTATAGAACAATTTGAAATCCTCATTTGGAAAGCATTGTGGTTATGTAGTGTACTGCTTTTTAGATTTTTATTAACCTAAATCTATAAATTTAAGTGTTCTGAAGTTACTGTAGAGAATTAGTTAACTAAGCAAATAACCTTACACTGATGGAAATTTGGTGGTTAAGGAATTCAGTTATAATCTAAGTTTTCATGTCTGCAGGATATGCACAGGCTGTACACAGGCTGAAGATTTTTTAGAGGTGGTATTGGTGGCCATTTGTATTTTGTTCCTCCATATCTGCTCTGTATTGTGTAGGTGTTTTTATACACAATTCAAGTGAAGGGGTTAGTCATGTTGACAGTGAAGTATGATACAGTAGCACTGGCCACTCCTATTAGTAAAATTTTTATTTTGAAAGAATACCCTTCAATAAAAAATAGTTATGAGACCTTTGGGGAGGGGGGTCCTACTGTTTTTGTTTTCCTCCTCCACATTTATTTCTTACTCAGTGGTCTATTTAGGCCTGAATTTTTCTTCATAGGATGTTGTTAGATGGAGATAGTACAGTATTTTGTTCACTGTCATTGGGAAGCTATAATAAAGCTGTTTAATAGATTTTCGGTAGGCTGGCACAAGCACTGATGTTCAGTAAGCATTTCTGAAAATACGATTTCCATGAAAAATAGATAACCAGAATGAGAATGGCTAGCAATATATGATTAAACATCAAGACTACCCAAGTCATCTTAATCAGTAATTGTTCTGCTGTGAGAAAGCATCCTCTGGAACTCCTAACTTGCATGTTGGTATTTTTGGTTATGTTTTTAACAGATTAGTTTTCCATTTTAAAAATATCATCATAGATCCTTTGAATTTACATATGTTAGGTTAAAATACCTGATACGGCCTATTAATCTCCTTCTTTCATTTTATTTATGCATTTGACTAAATTGATATGAATAGTTTAATTACCTTACATAGTGGTTTGCTGTGGTTGCTGAAGTAGCAACAGTCGACGGAGACTAAGGAACAGACGCACTATCTAATAGTACTTAAATTTTTTGAACTGTCTACATTTCAGATAGATGCTCTTTTGAAAGGCATAATTTCTTATTACTAAACATTAGAAATACTTTTTTAATGCTGAGACAAGTATTCTGAGAAAATCCATATATCGTCTGTCTTGTACAGAGATCTTAGCTCTCAGTGCATTTGAGAAGTGGTTTGAAAGCTTCATGTTGAAGTACTGGTCCTGATGGTGATAATTTGTTGTGTCTTTAAATAATCAGGTATCTCTTCTCGGTTTTATTTGTTTGAACAAGAACTGTCCCTAAAATCTGCTAATGTTAAAGAATAAATATCTGTGGTTTTGGTTTTAGAGGAAGTTCCACTGTGCAAGTTTGACATCTTGGCCTCCCTGGCTCTACTCTTTATATGATGCTGTAAGTTCACCCTGTGTATTCCCAAATAATCTACAGTTAGTTTTGTATGTTTTAATATCCAATTATTGGATAATGTAAAAGCTTTAATTTTTTTTGGCTCATAAGTTACGTTCTAAAGAAGTTTATAGTTTTCAGTTCGCTGTGAAAAGAGCGGGAAGGGCTTCCCCCTCTGTATAGTTGTTCCCTCGTGCTAGAGCATGTGTCTGGGGCGGATAACAGAGGTTCAGGTTCCTGCTGTGTTGCCTCAGAGCAAAAACTCGATCCTCTGTCCCACATGCTCCAGCTGAATGTCCTAACCACCAGGGTGCTGGATAGTCTTAGGTCTGTCTTTCCTGTTGGAGTTGGTTTACTCTTTAAAACGTACACATTTCTTTATATACATATATATATATTAGTACATAAAGTAATTAGTGTAAGAGAGGCAGAAGCAGGGAGCAGGCTAGTCCCCATCTCAGTTGTACAGTTCTAGAATTTTAACAGTTGTCTCCTTATCTCAAATGAGAGTTATAACCACCATGGGCCATTGGTTCATTTTGGCCCGTTTCCCATCGTATTTTGCTCTTAGTTTAAAGTATGTAGATACAAGATGAGTCTGTTGTTATTGTAAGTCTTAAAAGCTAATGTCCACTTAGGGAAAATAGCTTACTCTACATTTTGCTTCCTTTTTTTTTTTTTTTCCTAAGAAAACAGAAATACCTATGTATTTAAACTAGGCTTTTCTTCTAACAAAAGGAAACCTTGATGGAAAGAGTCAAGAGGCAGCTACATGAATGGGATGAAAATCTTAAAGATGAATCTCTTCCAACAAACCCAATAGGTATGATGTTGTTTAGCCCATGAACTCATTTTTTAATTTTTTTTTTTCAGTTTCTTAAGAAAACAAAACTTAGATAATTACCTTTTATTGGCAGTCCATCCCTCACTTCCAGTTTCCAATAAATTTTGATGATTGACTTTGACAAAAGGATGACAGAGCTTTCAAAGACATAAACATGCTCCAACCATGCAGAAACACTTTCAGTAAAAGAAATAGAACTCCATTGTGCTCCATGGCAGGAGGAATGTGATCCAAGTGTTTCATAAGAAAACAAGAGCCAAAAGCGTACTAGATTTTTAAAATTATCTTTATGTAAGTCTAAGTGTTACTATATATAATCTCTTTGTTCTTACTTCTTATTACCTCTTACCAGACATGAGGGAAAATAGCACCGGTAACCTAATTGCAAAAAAGTTGATATCAGATTTCATGCCTTAGCCGGCATTGGGGTTGTGCCCCAGTGAACAAGTCTCTTCTCTCTGCAGGTCTCTAGGGTCTAATAAGATGGAAATTTCAGTTGAAGCCTTTCTAAGGAGAAAAACATTCTTTCCCGTGTAGACTCTCAAATGCCTAATAAGGGGGAAAATTCAAACTGCAGCCTTCAATTAAAATCAGTTAAGCACCAAATGCAGGTCTGGGCTCAATAGTTTTGATGTATGTGGAACTCTCGTTTCTGATTTGCCTAAAGTAGTGGTTGAAAGTACTTCTCGTCTGCTTTGCCCAGAGTGCTGCTTAGAGGACCATATATGGAAAGCATATGAAATAATCTGAAAACAAACAAAAAAATCCAGTATTTTTTTGGCACTTCTTTTCTCACAATTCACAGCACACTGATATTTTGCTGACTTAAATTTTCAGCTTTTGAATTCTTTTACAGGCTGTGAGGAATGGGGTGATTTCCAGCTTAGCAAGGCTTTTGTTAGCTAAGTTAAAGAATGGCTGTAGTAAAGTCCACTACCTTTTGTGTTTGTGACTTAATACCTGATTGAAGTTGCTGCCTGAGAATTTACTGTCATATTAACACTTAAAAAAAAAAAAAGTCTGTCGTCTTGACTGAATATTTTTGGATCTAATTTTGGTCTGCATTCAAATGTGGGAAAAAACCCTCCAAAACCTCCAGAAGGGAGTGTATACAGAGCATGTCTTTTTCCTTCTCACAATATAACAGTAAAGAATACTAACGTGAGTACTAACGTGAGTAATATAACTTGGTTGTAATTTATGAAGGAGGTGTATGATTGGGGTTTTTTCTTTTAATTTTTCCTTCTCTCATAAAAGCATGTCTGTCTTTTTGCAAAAAAAAAGAGGAAGTGCAGGCATAAAGATAACCACGGGTGGTTGGAAAACTCAGTAATTCACTGTGGAAGTGGAAGTCTGTATCAGACAATGTTCTCCAGGGGTCTGTTCTGGTTTTAGAATACGTTACCTTACTAGCATTGTTCAGTCTCCACCACTGGTGATCTTTAAGTGTGGAATTAGACAAATATCTTAGAAGAGGTTTTACGTGTACATGATCCAGCCTTAGATGGATGTACCGAGATGACCTCTAAAAGTCTATTATAAACCTAAGTTTTAGCACTCTATCTGTAACTGGGTAGAAGTAGTAGGTTTTATTTCTCTCTCAGATTCTAACAGGCCTGGTACTTTCTCATTTCTAGATTTTTCTTACAGAGTCGCTGCTTGCCTGCCAATTGATGATGCATTGCGTATACAGTTGCTTAAAATAGGTAGTGCTGTTCAGCGACTCCGGTGTGAATTAGATATTATGAACAAAGTGAGTATTTTTTCTTTACTTGTCATTAAATTGTTCTCACAAAAAAATAGGAGTGACCGTTACAATCTATAACAAAAACATAGGAAACTTCCAAATAATACTTCTAGAGAGTGAATTTGTGTGTCCTTTTATTTCTTCCTTCCCCTTTAAAAGTTTGCTTCAGAAAGAAAATGCTCTCTCTCAATACTAGACTTCATGTTTGGCAGCAAGCAAGAAACATAAAATAATACTTGCTTGTGTTAGAAATCGTATTTCAATGCCTCACAGCACTTTTTTAGCCAAGAGATGGTGCTAGAAGTCCAATGTTGTTCATAACCATCTTAGGAACATCATAATCCCGTAGTAACAGTATAATATACTGCAGTCAAGTAGCTTTGTGCCATGAAAACTTGTGGATTTTTGTAACAAAAGATAGATCTTCCTAGTATTGAGCTATTGAGTGTAAGTCTAAGTATTGGACTGAAAGGATTTTTGCAAGACACCTGTATTGACCTGTTTGGCAATACCTTTTTAAGATGTTCAAAAACTTGTCTTCCCTTCTTTCCATTGCCATGGCCATGTAATGCTCTAAACGTAGGACGTTAAAGTTTTATTTTTACATAGTACATTTCTTTATAATAATATCTACTTTCTTAATAATAATATCTACTATAAGGAATATTACATATTATAAATGATAATGCAACTAAGTATCAGTGAACCTCATGTTGAATCCGACTGTTTTAGGAACAGCATTTGCAACGATATCTCCAACAGGAGTTCAGATTGCTATTCGCTTTGCAAAGAGAAAACGCTGAAAGGAGCCATTGGTATAAATACAGGTTTTAACTGTAAACTTGTTTATGTGTTTGATGGTGGTAGCTGGAATATTTACTATTCAATTTACTACTCAATTCTTGAATGGAGAGACAAATTAATATTTTAAGACATTCGTATCGCAAAGAATAGCTATACGCATCCTGGTTGACCCTCACCTTGCTGGTTGTAAGCTTGCTGGGGGTACCAAAGTACTGTCTCAAACGTTAGTGTAACAGAACCCCAGTCACTGTTGGTTTTGTCCACTGGATATAGAGCAGTGGAAATTTTGCCTGTTTGCCTAAAAAGCACTGCCTGTTTCTAGGCAAAAGAGAACCAGAGTATCATTTTAATACTGTTCCTCTTCCCAAAGTTCATGCACCAAAAATCTAAAAGGCAATATACAGAGAAAAGGAGACAGAAAACATCTCTTCCGAATTCTGAGACAAACATAGACAGGTTTTTGCGTGAGACTCTGTATCAGATTAAACTTCATTTGTCTTTCCTGAGTCAAAAACTCTGAAACTATTCTGATATTCAGGTACTACTAAGAACTGTTCATGTTCAGTACATTGTATATTTTCTATAAATCCCAAAGAGACAAGAGGACTTAAGTTACCCTCATAAAATATAAGGTAAAGCTGATTTTTAGCCTACACCAGAAGGGTGTTTTCTTCATCAACATGTGACATTTTATCCTGTAAATGTGTTTAACGGTTCTATATTAGTGTGAGAATTGTAAGTGCGTTATGGTTTTTTACAGTTTTTTAGCAACATTTATTTTGGTCAAATCCACCCTTTTTAAGCCAGGGTTGTTTAATGAGAAGACAACTTAGCATATATTTTGGTTTACTTGAGGAGGATAGACTTAACGTTTCATTTTCAGAATGTAACTTACAGTAATGTAACTGATTGTAAGACCTGATCCATTTTCTTTTGTCTTTGGTATCAGTGAATTGTATTGTACTTGTAATAGCTTTTCCTGTTATTAAAGACAGTTAACTGTTTCTGTGCTCATTTTTAAAGGAATGTGCATCACTCACAGGTATAACACTTCTGTGAATTCCGCTTGAGAGTGTTAATTGTAGTAATTAGATAGGTTTGGAAATGGAGGGAAGGAATTAGGTAGCTGTCTTGGATTCTGAGAGGGATATATGAGCATTAGATTATAATCTGTGAGTAAGCGTGATATAAAAGAGTGAGCGATAGTGGGCGTTAAAGGTCCCTGGTAGGAGAGAAAGGCCAAGTGAGCTTGAAGAAGGGAAGTGAAGAGAACTGGTGTATGATTATTTGTTATGATATTATAATATATGATATTGTGATATTTGTTCAATATCTTTATCAATGATCTGGATGAGGGGATCGAGTGCTCCCTCAGTCAGTTTGCAGACGACACCAAGTTGGGTGGGAGCGTTGATCTGCTCGAGGGTAGGAAGGCTCTGCAGAGGGACCTGGACAGGCTGGATCGATGGGCCGAGGCCAACTGCATGAGATTCAACAAGGCCAAGTGCCGGGTCCTGCACTTCGGCCACAACAACCCCATGCAGCGCTACAGGCTTGGGGAAGAGTGGCTGGAAAGCTGCCTGGCGGAAAAGGACCTGGGGGTGTTGGTCGACAGCCGGCTGAACATGAGCCGGCAGTGTGCCCAGGCGGCCAAGAAGGCCAATGGCATCCTGGCCTGTATCAGAAATAGTGTG